GGTGTCTGACCCAACTCCTCTGAGGCTCCTCGATCTTTGAAGGCTGAAATGAAATGAACGTTGTGTCTGTATCAATCATTTGTTCCTTCCTGCGCAGACTGCAACTTTGCTGCGCTTGCTTGTTCCAGGAGCTTTCCTGACCCTGTTCCGTAGGGTTTCTACATAATCATCCAGCTGCAAATAACACCAGTTTTAATCTTCTCTTTCCGTTTGTTTTTCTTGCCTCATGGCAGGGCTAAGCCTTCTGAAATGCCATGAAGCAAGGTCCTGTCTCCCTCCCTCTGGCCCCCTCTTCCCACCCCTCCCTCTCCTTGGTGGGTACAGGTCCCTTTAAAAGAGGACAGTCAGAAAGAATTAGGTTTAGGACCCATCCTACCTGAGGATAACACTTACGTCTGTTAACATAACCGAAGAAAACCCCTCTTTTCACACAAGGTCGTATTTAGAGGCCCAGGAGTTAGGATTTCATATTTCCAGGAGCAATAATTCAAACCCGAACTGCAGGTGGGAACTCACGTGAAGAAATAAGGGGAAATCTCCATGACCTCATTTCCTGAAGCAGGTCATTTGTTGTCATTGTTAGGCGATGTCAAGTTGGTCCCTATCCACAGTGACCCCACGTAATGGAAGACCTTCCTCTTTTTCAGTGACCCCCGGCTTTCCTAAGCACGATGTCCCTGCCTGAGGACATGCCCAGTGCATGTAAGATGAAGTCTTACCGTCCGTCCTTGCTTCTAAGAAACATTCTGGCTGTGCTTCTTCCCAGAGAGACTTGTTCGTCCTTGGAGACGCCTATGTGTGCTCAGGACTCCGTCAGCACCATGACTCAGTCAGCTGTTCTTCAGTCTCCCCGGGCCACCCACTGCCCAGCGTCTGCGGGCGTGCGAGGGGCGGATGAAAACAGCACAGCGGGGCTCAGGCGCGCCTTCTCCTCCAAGGGGACCCTTTGCTTTCCTTCTTCAACATTGAACTGGAATTTGCGTATGAGTAACTCTTCTGAAGAAGGTCTGGCCTTCTTCTAACCCGTGATGCTGAGCACCTGCATGGTCTCTTCCTACAGATGCCGTGGACTTGATTCATGTGTGGCCCATTTGGTGAGGTCCATGAGTACAGTTGCCACTTATGTTGTTGAAAAAGGATAATTGCAATAAGGAAGTCGTTCATCTTGCAAAATGCTATCGTGATCCCTGGAGTTGTTTCCACCACAGAAGCCACGTTTTCCAACTACTGATGCCTCCTCTTCATCCCAACGTTTGCGTTCCAATCCCAGTAATCTTGAATGCATGTTGGTTGCGTGTTTGACATCAGATGCAGGATTCTTCAGCTGGCATGTGTAAATTTGAGTAGTGGTTGGATTAGCTGGTCTTCCTTGTAGGCATACAGGTACAATTCAGGATCGATCTTGAAATGTTCTTTCTTTTGGAGGATGACGAATGTGACATGCCATTCCTCTTGAATTTGTCATTCCCGTTAGAGTAAAGCGAACAGTGTGTGATTCAAACTAGGGAAGACTGTCCATTTCAGCTCACGGATGCCGAGGATATCGATCTTTATCTCTGACACCGCATTTTTAACGACTGCCAGTTTCCCTAAATTCGCACATTCCGCTTTGTTGAGTGGATGTTTGCAGCTGTTTCTTCTCAGTGTGAGTCGTGCCACACCAGCAAATGCAGATGCTGAGAGCGCTGCCCATGCACGCCATTGGAGTCAGCTCTGCTGCTGGAGCCAGCTCTGCCCCGGGTGTCTTAGGGTGCCTGCTGACCTGTGGGGTCCACCTTCCAGCACTCTGTCTGATGGTGTTCCCCTGCTGTTTGTCAGGGCTTCAGCGGCTAACCTTTCAGAAGGGGACGGGCTGTTCCTTCCTCCTGGTCTGTCTTGGTCTGGAAGCCCTGCTGACACCCGTCTACCACAGGGGACCTTGCTGACCTTTGAATTTGGGGGACAGGCCTGAGCCTACTCACACTTCTAGACAGCAAGGAATGCCTCGTCCCCGGTGGGCCCCTCTCCCCTCCCCTGACAGGACCCACAGGGTCCCATCTCTAATAACCCAGAGGTAGCCAAGGGCCTCGCTCTGTGTCTGTGTTTGAAATACCAGGGCAGAGCTGCAGCATCCCAAGAGCACACAAGCCACGACTCACACAGACGAGTAGAACGCTTTATTTACACAGGTGGCTGATGGCTGTGGGCACTGCTGATCCTGCCCGCGGTCCCTAGGTGACAGGAGAGCAGGGACCCCTGCAGAGGAGGCCTGCGCGTCCACTCCTGCAGGTGCTGTGTACAGGGACGTGCATGTGCAGCAGGGGGCTGTCCCGAAGATCCGGAACACCATGGAAAGGCACCTGTTTCTGGGCCAGAGGAGGCAGCGGCGGCCAATGCCCAGGACACGGCGTTGGCTCCCAGCATCCAGGGTGTCAACCGGCCTGATGACATCCCAGGAGCTGCCCGAGGCCTGACCGGGCTGCTCCAGGACCTGCGGTCTCCGAGGGACCACCTGGTGGTCAGTGTCGCCCGTGCTTGAGCCAGTTCCTGATGGTCCACTTCTGACCAGAGCACCGCTGCACCACCAGCCGCAGCCCAAAGTGGGCATCCTTGGCCATCTCCACCTCCAGGCACCGACCTGTGTCCCGGCTGACGATGGGGCCGCCCTGCAGGGAGCCGGCCCAGTGGGCTGCAGCCTCGCTGAGTCCCGGCCCCATGCGGCCACCCCAGGGACTGGGGCCTCCCTACTCCCCCACGACCTGTCCCAGCCACCCACCAACTGTTCCACCAGCTCCCTGGGCACAAAAAGGGGCCTCAGAACCAGGGCCCAGATGGGCTTCTCCCCAAGGACATGCCGGTGGAGAGAGAGAGGCAGCAAGACAGACAGACAGGGAGAGAGACAGAGAGACAAAGAGGGAGAGATGGACAGGGAGAGAGAGACACAGAAAGAGACGAGGAGAGAGAGAGAGAGAGAGAGAGGCCGGCTGGGGCGAGGGAGGGGTGGTAGGAGAGGGGCAGGGCTCTTGGTGTCCGCCCCGCTGACCTGTGAGAAGTCCCACAGCCGCTGGGCGGGCCTGGCCACGTCCTCGCACTTCCTGAGGGACGGGGTGCGGCCCTTGCCATCATCCACGAGGCACCTTGAGTCGGGCAGGAAGGCGGTGGAGCCCAGGGGCCCCAGCTGCAGGAGCCCTTCAGCACTGTACCTCACCAGCTGGGTGGGGGAGCAGGGCCGTGCGTGAGAGGCCTGGGTTCCGCCCTGGCCTCCGCGCGTGTCTGTACCCATCCCCAGGGATCTGCCTCTGCACCCATCACACGGAACTGTGTCTGCACGTCACCTCAAGGTCACCAATCAATGGGTGGGAAAGCCAGAGTGTGGGACATCGCAGGCCTTCCTGCTGCCCGCTGGGCAAGGAGGACCCACAGGTCCCCACTCCTCCTGGAGCATATCCTCAGGAGGCCCAGGGGCCCAGGCAGGCGTAGCAGGGCGCCACCCCTCTACCCCTGTGCTCCTGGCAGGAGCCCAGCAGGGTGGGGGTGACCCTACCTGGGAGGACATTCCATGGCAGGGGTACAGGATGGCCCGGTCATCGTCCTCTGAGCCCTGGTCCAAGCAGTAGCCACTGGCCTTGCTGTTTCTCACCTATGACCAGAGAAAGCCCCGGTCAGTCTCCGAGGGGCTGAGGTGAGGCTGGGGGGCCAGGACCCTCCCACCCCTCCCCGTCAGGGAGCCAAGATGGTGAGACCTCAGTTCACGGGCCCTGGGCATGTGATCAGCGGGGCCAGTCCTGGGAGAAGGACATCATGCTTGGTGAGGTGGAAGGGCATCAAAAGAGATGGACCGACACGGTGGCTGCTAGAACGGGCTCGGACATGAGAATGATTGGCCGGTGGTGCTTCTTTCAGCTGGGCACGGGGCCGCTGTGCGGCAGCACCACCTGGATACCATCCAACAACTCCCACCACTCCTGCTTGGGGCAGACTCCTGGGAAAAGCTGGGCCTGGAACCTGGCGGCCTTCCCAGGATAGGGACTCGGCAGAGGCCCCCATGGGACATGGGGGGTGGGCGAGGGCACAGCGGGCATTCCTCCCCTGGGACGGTGTCACTGGAAGGGAAGGCTCGGGGATGCAGACAGAACTCGACCGTCACGCAAAGACGGAAGTTCAGTGACAAGCACGGAGGCCCGTGGGACAGCCTCTGGGTGTCTGTGCCCAAGCATGTGGCTCTGCGGTCTCCTGTTGGGAGTGGGGATAGGGGGTGGAGGTGCAGCCTCAGAACCCCGGGCGGCCTGACACTGGTTTTTCTCAGGAGGATGCAGCAGAAACGACACAGCTGAGGCCAGTTCCCAGCTCGGGGACCCAGCCACTCCCACCCTGGCCCAGGGCACCCAAGTTGTCCGGAGAACAAGCTGCTGCCAGGCAGCTGGGGGCAAGCCACCACATGCCCAGCTGCAGTCAAGACTGGCCTGGCCTGGCCCCCAACTGCCTGTGGACCCCAGACAAAGCCTGGGTTGAGGCCACTGTCTGTGCTGGCGGCTCCTGCGCCCCCCTGGCTCACAGCAACAGCGGGGCGGCCCCACCAGGTGGGCCAGGTTGTCTAAGGAACCTCAAATGCGGAAGAATGTTACCCAGGGGGTGGAAGCAGTATTGTGGGGCAGATTGGCACCTATTTGTATGTGAGGAAACAGAGTGTTATCTGTCCCTGCAGGAAGGGACAGCAGTAACCGTCTGTGCAGGAGGGGCAGATCGGTACCTCTCCGTACGTGAGGGTGTTGTTGTAGATCCTCATCTCGGGGTACACGTTCTCCAGGTACCACTTGAAGCTGTGGCATTTCAGTCTCTGTCGCAGCGCCACCCGCTCGGACACGTCCCCAAAGTCCACACCGGGGTTCTGCAAAGCCAGGCCCCAGTCTGTGAAGGACTGGAGCCCACGCTCAGGCCGCTCTTCTGGGACCTCTTAGAGGCCTAGCGATCAGAGGCTGCTTCCGTCCCCCGTCCCTGCTATGCCCACCCCCTTGTGTTCTGGTAGCATGGAAGGTCCCTGCCTGTGAGCCCCATGAAGGGTTAAGCCAGGAGGGGACCAGCCAAACCCTGCACATCCCGAGCTTTGGAAAGGCTGGCCCTGACCGGCCGCAGGAATGTAACTGCTAGGCCCTTACAATGTCCTGCTGAATAAAACTGCTTGTTCACATGGATTTGGTGGGGGAACAAGAGTTCTAGGTTCACCTGACCTCCAGGGTGCACCCCACAAACACCCCCTGAGATATTTTGGAGCTCAAATAGGCTGCCAGGTGGATTTCGATCATCAGGGACCCCGCGTTCAAGGGCAAGTCCCAGCAGGCGTGGCTGAGACCCTCCCACCTCAGTGGTCAGAGAAGGGGAGGCCTCACCTCAGATGGGGCAGGATGGGTTCCTGTGGAGCAGGTGCCTTCCCTGAGGCCTGAGAGGCAAGGCTGACCCAGAAGGTGACTCTGAGCCTGCCCCAGGGACAGCATCACTCTGGCCTGCCCCCCTCTTTACATGGGTCCCACGACTCCTACCCGGGCAGTCTTGGTGCACCTCCGGCTCCCTTGCTCCACCCCCCCAGCCAAGCCCCACCTCAGGCCCAGCTCACGGTCATGGGGATGTTCCAGGCCATGTACACATGGGATTTGAAGTCGTCCATCCACACCTCGGCGGCCCGCAGGGCATTGCGCTTGGCGTAGTAGTCGATGTCGTTGTTGTAGGGCTTCTTGGTGCGCTCGATGTGGGCCACACGGGAGCAAGGCAGCACCTCCATGCTGCCCCCACACTGCCACACCTGTGGGGCGGAGAGCTGGCCGGGTCGCGGGCCGGAGACCATTCCTCCCCCACCCTTCCTGGCCATGGGCAAGGGGGCTCCAGGCAGTTCTGCTCATGGTGGGTGCGCTCCACGTGGGAGCCCCACCCAACACCCCATTGCCGCAGCCACCGCCTCCCACCCTCCGCACCCATCTACCCTCAATTGAAAAGCCTGTGTTTGCTCAGCAAACACATTCGAAGGGCTCAGAAGAAACTCACAGTCAAGGGAAAGAGCCTTTGTTAGGCAAACAGAGCTTCAAGCCACCCCAGATAAACTCGAGATCAGAGGCTAAACAGCTTGCTGCCTCCTCAGTCAACAGCAGGATGTCCAGAACAGACACCCGTGAGAGCCACCGGGTCCTGTGCCCTCTTCTCTGTGCAGGGCCTGGTGGCTCAGCGGTTAAGGATGGGCTGGTAACAGCGAGGTGGGCAGGGCAAACCCACCAGCAGCTCCTCGGGAGAAAGCTGAGGCCGTCTGCCCCTGGACAGCGGCAGAGGGCAGTTCTACTCTGCCCGCATGGGCCACGCGGGTCTGCAGCAGTGGGTGGCGGGGGTGGCACTCTGTATCGTCCCACATAAACACACCACAGGCCACCTTAGATGAAGTCCGACCAGCGTGCTCCTTAGAAGGAACGCGAGAGAGGCTTCGTCCCAGGTACTTTGGCCTTCTCAGCAGGAGAGGCCAGTCTCTAGAGAAGGGCACTGTGAGGCTCGGTGAGAAAGAGGAAGGCCATCCAGGAGAGGAACGGGCACAGTGGCGGCAACAACGAGCTCAAGCAGAAGGACTGTGAGGCTGGCACAAGGCCGGGCGGTGTTTCCTTCCGTTAGGCCGGCCATCGTGTGAGTGGGACCTGGCTGGCAGGCTCCTCACAGCCACAGCCTCCTTCCCTCCGGCAGGACAACTACAGCCCCCAACGACTCGCAGGGCATCAGCTTAGACAAGGACGGAACCCACAGCTGGCACTGTGGGTACTCGGAGAGGGGCCCAAGTTTCCTGAGCCATCGCCCAGTCCCTGGACACTCAGGGTGCCCCGTCTACTGTGTTCACTATTCAGAGTGACGTTGCCATCATCATCCTCCTCCTCCTCCTCCTCCTCCTCCTCAGAAGCTCTTCTTGGGATGAGTGTGAGCCCAAGCTACACAGACACCGTGGTGCAGCGGTTGGTACTGGGCCCAGGGCCAGCAGTTCAAACACACCCTCTACTCCTCAGAAGAAAGGTGGGTCTTCCTGCTCCTGTAAAGACCCCATGGGCAGTTCTAGTCAACCCGTAAGGCCCCCTTGAGTGGGAACAGACGTGGCAGGAGTGGCTCCACCGGCGTTTGTGAGCCAGCTAAGCCATAGTCTGGCAGCTTCCTTCCTGTCCCTGGGAAATGGATTCCCCTCAGGGTGGGGTGTGGGATGTGGGGGACTCCATGTCTCACCCAGTGTTCTCTAAAGCCCAAATCCCTGCCCCGATGGAAGTGGGGGAGCCCAGGATGGAGCGGGGAGACTGCTGAGACGGAGGGCTGCCACCACAGGGTGTGCAAACTGGCAGCTGCGACTCACGTCTGCTCTGTGAGCTTCACCGGAGCCACAGTGAGAAATAGATCTCCCCGGGGCTGTCCAGCCAGCCTCCAGGCCATCCTTGACTGTGGCCATGGGGCAGCGGTGACCGTTCATCCAACAATCCAGCACGACCTCCTCTGAGGCCCCCACCCTCACCCAGCCTGCCCTCCCGTTCAGAGTCCACA